GGTCGGCAACGGCGAGTCTACAAGACGCTTTAGACACACTACATGACTTTCAAAGAGGCCAAATCTCTCGACTGTTCACACTACACAACTTTCAGTATTGTAAACGGGAGTCTTAAAGTTGACGTGATTTTCGCACTACTTGACAGCAACACACACTACAAGATCTTTCACAACTAGGCTGTGTGGTCTCGAAACAACTTTACATCAGGAGTCATTAATAACACCATTAATAACAAGCATGTCACATCATGTTTACTAAGGAAAGTAGTTAAACATGCACAAAGGACAGCATACTGCCTTTACAAACTATATAAAATAAGCCTATAAACAGCCCTATCAGCCTGCGTAAGTAATCAATACACAAATTAATAAACCATTAATCAAACAAATAACTATTAGCAGTCAACGTCAGACAACATTATCATACTTTAGCAGTTACCTTGTGTTTCTGTAGTGGTGACAAGACTGTATTCTAAAATAATCTCCATAAACTGTTGGCTAGTGTAAAATTAGGGCTAAAATGGTTTAGTGTGAACTCTGCATAACATGGCAAGAGAGATCACATATATAGTGGTTGCACTTGATATTTGCAGATTTGCATATCATAGACCACTGTACTATTGGCCTTGGTAGAGGTCTGCACTCTCCAAGTAGTTTAATAATGATTTGTGTGTGTTTTTTTTACTAACATAATGAACACACATTTGCCACTCACTGATGAGAGGAAAAACTAATCATGCTGTGCATACAGACAGACAAAACCTGTAATAAATGAAATGCATTGTTACATATTAGTTGCATGTCCATTGTCACTAAATTTGGCATTTATATACTATACATTGAATTCATTCATGTTACCTGCTCCAGCTATAATACTCTAATCAGGCACATCCAGTAAACATTAAGTCAATGAAAAGCTAATTGTCTGCATTACTGGAACTTCTCAAGCAGTTCTTTGTTTTTCTGTCTGTAGGCATTGATTCAGAAGGCCATGCAGCTAACTATGTGGAAACAGAGCAGATAGTGCAGTACAACAGTGCCAAGGCTTCGTTTGTTCAGGTGAGTCATAACAGAGAGGTTTGGTAGTGTCTGCCATTCAGACTGGCCACAAGAAAGAACTCAACTATCATTATTCAATGCCCCCACAGTTGTCTTCACTGTCCACACAGTCCACATTTCTGTTGTGGTCCAGTTGTCACAGGTCTCAGTTTCAGTGTGGACTGTGGATAACATGGGCCGACTCTGACAGGTGGTTGCAGGGGGTGCTATAAACCCACTGCACTGTGGCTTTAATAGTCCTTGTATATATGTTGTAATGAAGGAATTAGTTTATGGAAGCAGGATGATGGTGTGTTTTTGCATTATGCTATTTTTCTTCACAGACAAGAGGCTCCATCCCGTTCTACTGGTCCCAAAGGCCCAATCTCAAGTACAAGCCAAAACCACAGATCAGCAAAACAGTCAACCATGTAAGCTGTCTTCACTCTTACATTAGAGAAAAAAAGGCCCTCTGTGTGAGTGTAATCTTATTTCTCTCCAGTTCTCATGCACTTTTCCTCTCCTTTCTGTTTAGTTGGATGGCTTCCAGAGACACTTTGACTCACAGATTATTCTCTATGGAAGACAAGTCATTTTGAATTTGGTAAGATGAGAAAATGTGTAATTATTTGAGATATACTTGATATTAATATTTATATTTAGTAATATTGTGTTGATTCTTAAAAACACTAGATTTTGATGTGTAAACAGCTAGATATATTAGTTATAGTTATAAAGAACTGAGTGCTGTGAAAACAAATGTTGATCTCACTGTTGTGGTTGCATAAAAAGTTTTGGTGGTGTGTTCTTTATGACAGTTTTCCCAAAATTGGACCTGTATTGTGGTAATAACATCAAACACTTTCCACTTTTTTTAATAGGCTTTAATAGGTGAGAAGATTAATATTATGTAAACTAAAATAAATTAGACTTCATTTGAACTGTTGAACTTCAACTTAAACTTGAACGTCAAACTTATGCGCTGTGGCCAAATTAAAGTTACGGTGAGAGGAAAACTGTAGTGAAATGCAATTAATTCACTGGAGAGAACACAGTGGCGACAAATTAAGCCAGTTAACGCGGAGTGTGTCATGAACACTAACTATCTACCTGTAATGAACCTGAGGCACTTCCTCATAAACCCTGCATCAAGAAGTAGGAATAAAACTAGGGTTAAATGTATCCACACCGCTAAATTATATGACCTTTTGTGAGCAAGTGCTGTACTGTATCCTCAAGAAAACTTCAGAAAAATGTCCTGGAAAGATCCTGGAAAATTATTTCTTAAAAGGAATGGGAATACTGGTGCCACTAAATAAATAAATAAATAAATAAAATGCCCGTCTCTGATAAGAACACTGAGTTCGTATTGTGTTGTTCACAGATCAACCAGAATGGTTCAGAAAAGCCACTGGAGCTGACTTTCGACAAGATGGTGACTGGCTTGGGTAATGGCATGATCAAGTAAGATTACTACCAGTCCTTTACCCTTCAAATGTGTCTGCATTCTGTGTGTGCCTCATTTTTACTCCGCCGAAAATTTGATTGAATTACTTTTGACTTGCTTCTCTGCAGGTACATAGCCTTTGACTTCCATAAGGAGTGCAGTCGGATGAGGTGGCACCGCCTGCAGATCTTATTGGACATGGTTGCTGAAATGCAGGATGAATTGGGGTCAGTGTGCTTTTTGCATTGTGTATGAGCCGATACATGAGTCTGCCAGTTAGACATCTATGTGCTGTACATCAGAAGTAATGGTGTGTATGTGTGTTCAGATATTTCCTGGTGGATGCAGATGGGAAGGTGTTGTTGAACCAGGAGGGGACATTTCGGAGCAACTGCATGGACTGTTTGGACCGCACCAATGTCATCCAGAGCCTGCTGGCCCGACGCTCGTTGCAGTCCCAGCTACGGGTAGGACCCAATCATACAGGAGGTGGACACAGCTAAATAAGCAACTGCACATAGAGCATAGTGGCTCAGTTAGTCGATTTTAGTGGCAACATGTTTTATAAAAGGAAGTGTAACTTAAACCACCTGTGCAGCCCACTGGATATTAATTAGTCCAACATCATTTTAAATTTAACATAGTTTAAATTCAATTAAAATTGTCTGCTTGTCTGAATTGTCGCAGTTTAAGTTTCTCTTGAAATGTCATTGAAAACTATGAGGTTGGTATATTTACTGTACATTCTTGAGGAAAATCTGGTGTTCAAGTAATCTAAAGTAATGGCTTGGGGACATGAACAGCATGAACACACAAAGGCAGAGTAAAACACACTTAGAAGTGGAGTTCAACTGTTAAAATGGCTCACATGATAAATTCAGCATAATGTCCATTTACTTTTTCTCTGCTCTGGATCTATTAAGCCTTGATTCCACTGGTCAGGCCATTGTCTTTAGATTGTCTTTAGCTTTGCACACTTCCTACAGATATTGTACACCTTAAAGGCTACAGAGAAAAGGAGGGGTTGTGTCCTTTAAGGGGGGATAGGACAGCTGAAAGTAGGCAGGAAAGGGGGAGAGAGGGGCTATGACACGTGGCAATGGGCTACAGGTCAAACTCATGGCTGCTGCAGCAAGGACTCAGCCCTGGCACATGCAACTGCAAGACTTTTAATTTTATCTTTTCAGAAGTGATAAGTGAAGGAAAATAAGTATTTGTGTTAGTGGTCCAGTGTGTAACATTTAGGAGGATCTTTTGTCAGAAAAGGAATATTCATAGGTATATTTTCTTTCACTACTTTCAGTGATGTTTTTGCTATCTAAGAATAAGCTGTTAAGATATTGAGAGATTGTGTACTTACAGAACAAATTAAAATCAAATATAAATAAAATTAAAGCTGCAAGCAGCGTTGAGCGGGACCTCGCACTCCGCGCAACATTTTTGAAGTGTACTGTCCAGTTTTGAAGCAGATCCGATAAATTCCCTAGGAGTTTGTTCGTTCAAATACAAGACCACGGAATTCAAAATGGCCAACTTTGACGGCACGCCACGGACACTCCCTTCAACGTACAGCCACAAATAGCACGGCGTTCATTCAGCACCATTTTTTGACTGTACTGACCAAATTTGAAGGAGATCCGATAAAACCTGTAGGAGAAGTTAATTAAAATAGAAGCCCTGAAATGCCAAAAATGACATCACAGTTTGACATTCGATTCAAAATGGCCAACTTTGACGGCACGCCACGGACACGCCCTTCAACGTACAGTCGCAAATAGCACGGCGTTCATTCAGCACCATTTTTTGACTG